CAAAGAAAATAGCAGGTTCTTTAAGAATGACTCTTTGAGTCATAAAGCCAGCTCTACTAAAAATAACTTATTTAAATCAATGAAATCTAAACCTGATTTAGCTCAAGAGAAAGTTACGAATATAATCAACAAAATTCTCTCAGGTGTCCAAGATATTAAACACCAAAAGAATCATCATGAAATAGCAGAGCTAGTGCCAGAACACATATTTTGCAACATATCTTTTATACCTTCAACACTCAGAAGATTAAATGACAATGTTTTCAAAAATAAGAGCAAGAAAAATAAGATCAAGTATTCCATGGATACTTCTTCTAATTCAGATACTTCCTACTTAAGTACTTTATCCAGTTCAGAATCAAAAGTTATATATATACAGGACTAAAGTGATAAGAAAATGCCCCATTCTAAAGTGTAAAGTAAAAGGTAAAGTCTCACAGAGTGAAGATGCTATCACATCTAATTATCGAGCTTTATAGAAGAGCTACATGTAGTGTCTTTGACACATATTAATGCATCTGATCTTATATATAGCCACAAAATTAATTATAATCATATCGTAACTGCGAAATCACATTATGTTATAATGGGTCTCAGAGAAGCGATGTCATGCGTTTTAATTCTGCGAATCAGAGATCAACATAAAAGTTCGATAGCCAGCGATAGAAAAATAGTTGATTTATTGATCTATTTCGGGGACAGAATCTATTTCGGGATGTACTACAAGCATATAATTAGGCCTGCTAATTTCCCGGTATGATCCATCCAATCAGAATAATTAAAAAATCGTTAACGATCGGAAAATTATTAACCAATCACACCACGTAGATGTTCATGGAACATGCGTAACTGTACTACATAGATAATCGTTATTTTTTTCGCTTTATTTTACATAGTAAAATGTCTTTCTACCACACATGCTTTTGCGATAAGACATGCAAAAATGAAACTTGAAAAGCCTACAAGAGGAAAGAGCTCGACATTCTCTATTAGCTTTCATATCAAAAACCCCAAGTTATGGGGAGTTGAGGTTTCAGAGATTGCAGAGATCGTCATTGCATTAACCAGCTCCGTCTTGCAGGAGCGGTCTCGAACCTAAAGGGATTTCATTCCCCCCGAAATTGCGTAATATGGTTATGCGTCTCTTCTTTGCTGAATTCTTGGCATTTATGGGCTAGCTACACAAGGTAAGGAATCCGTTAATTTGCGAAATCTTATGACTGATTCTCCGAACGACGCAATATTGGTTTTCTTCTAGCAGGTTCGAAGTCGAACATAAGGTGTTATAAATAAGCAGGAATCGTCCAAAGACGGTCCCTTACCTTCCCACGAATTTTAAAAGGTACATCTGTTTATGAAAGCGACATCATACTCACTATGAATCTTTTTATTTAGGAACGTAAAATGAGTGAAACCAACATTACTCTCAACTGCCTCTTTATGCATTCCGTGGTTTACCTTACCGAATTCACACAATTCCTATTTCTAATGCATCAACAGTCAACGCGCTTATGAATCTAATTCAACCTGTTATGTCAGGCGGAATAACTCATGTTAACTACCAGCTTCGTGCATTTCGTCCGGGACCTGTGGTATATGTAAATATGGCGCCAGGAGGTAGAATCAGTGATTATTTCGGCAACTTTTATTATTTGTATCAGCTATCGCCTTCGAGACATTTTTCGTAAAATAGTCACACCATTTTGTTGCACGTGTATCATATTCCTATTTGCTGATCATTTCGTGTAACTTCCATCGTATATAAACCGCCAAAAATAAAAATTTAATTGCATTATCTAGCTTCTTGCAACGCAGTGCATAAAACCAGATTTTTTAACGCCATATACCAATATAAAACGATAACATGTCTTCACCCAGCGCTTCTTCACCTTCCTCACCAATTTCAACATCCTTTACATTGACGGAAGAAAGGTCAACTCGCACGATGGCAGCGTGGCCAAAAACCTAGATACGGAAGAATTTATTGATTATTTACTAATGCGGGGTCTAAAGCTTAAGGAGTCGCATTTCAAGATTTTTCGGCAGGAAGAGATTACAGGCCCCGCATTTCTTAAATTAACCAAAGCAGAGTTTCGAAGCATTGGATTTACCTTAGGAACTGCGACTGTTCTCGCTGATTTCATTAAAGAGATATCAGAACAAAAGTTACGTAGCTTCTCATCATATAAAACTCTGGAAGAATTAAAAGACGTGCTCCGCAAATATAAGGTCAATGGGGAGGATATAACGAATATCAAGCAATTCAATCCGGGTATGTAGTATTTCGATATGTTATTTTTTCTTGGCATTTCATTTTCCGGGACGGGCCGTCTCGCAAATTTCTTGGCAAAACCGTTCCCTCGGGGAACGATCAGAAAAATTTCCAGATATATAATAACTCGTTTTTTCTGTTTATAGATTCCGTAAAAATCGATGATAATGACGAAGCGTTTAAGCACTGTGTGGCGGACATAATACTAATACTAACGAATATTGAGACGAGTAAGAGGGCTAGGATCAAAAAATTTACCGGAGAATAACGGGTAGATAGATTTCCCGCTTTACATGTACTTGTAATTTATTTTTCGTTAATAAAAATGAATCTTTCTCACGTGATTATTTGATTACTGATAACCCGGGTTTCGGTGGGTTCTGAAGGCTATGTAACACAAGTAATACAATGAAAATTTAATGCTGATCCGAACAAGTCATGTTTCATTTTATATTTATTATCCAGATGCTAATTCATTAATTGCAATAGATTTGCCCAACTAAAATGTTGTTTTGCGCGCGAATCCATAATGAAGCGACGAATTGGCTTTCTAGGGATCATACACAAAGAAATGAGCTTCATCCGTAGCTCAAGTGCCACCATGAACTCTATAAAACACATCAATTTCGTAAACGATATCCGCAGGTTCGTCCTTAGAACAATTTACAATACAACGCAAAACGCACGCAAATTGCATTACAACAATCACATATTCCTTGTTATGCAAGATCAAACCGTGAAAATACCCAAAACATAATACGCAAAAAATGTTCTCAAATAATTCAGATTTTTTCGTGCTCGTCGTGTTCATGCTAGTCCAATCGCTAGTATGATACCTAAATACTCGAAGAGTGGAAAACCGTATAACTGCTGAATTGTCTGCTATCAAAAGATCACGGCGAAACTCAAGCGCTAATACCGAATTGCTACAAAAAATCAACGATCTCGACCGCAATATAAGCCTAATGGGCTACGAAGTTCGCGACATCAAAAATGATGTTGGCAGTCGCGACAGTAATTCCGGCTCTCGACAGTCCAAGTCTAATAGAATACCTCAAGATTACTCCGGCGATATTCAAACTCTCTGGCAAGATTTCGATCGCCTATTCAAAGAAAAACGTCGACTAGAGAAACGAACCGAGTCCTCAATGTATTCCAAAATTTCAGAAGAAATAAGGGAGCTGGGCCAGCGTCTTGGAGATGCGACTATCCGGAAATTTCACAAACGTTTAACCCGTAATCCCACGGATGAAACCATAGAATTTATTAGGCTATGGGTTGATAATGAACGAGAATTAGATACAGAGGTAGAAGAGGAGGAAAATAGTGATAACGCTGGACCTAGCAGGACGAGAGAATAGGGGGTAGTCATCGCCTTCGGGCAAGCTTTGGAGCTGACTTCCACTGGTGCACCAGTTTTCCCTCCCATGCAGTTGTGCTAGGTCCAAGCTTTTATCTTGTATTTAGGCATTTTCTACAGTTGGAAATTCTTTATCAAAAATCCCATAATAAAGAGAGTGATCAATCATGTGACCATCTTCGTCATCAATACAGAATGATCAAGTTTGTGCAACCGAATCTCTCACATATACCATAGCGCCCAAAATTTTTTTGATGAAAACCCTTTTTCCGTCCATACTACAGTTACACAAATACATCCAATATAACCATGTCTATTAAACTCTTCTGCGTAGTGAAAGGAACAACTACACCTTTTCCAGTGGATATCGATAGTGAGAAAACTGTCGGCGACCTCAAGAAACTTATCAAGGCGGAGCAGGCGCCAGACTTTGACCACTTTCCTGCCAATAAACTCAGGCTTTGGCAGGTCGAAATTCCCGACGATCGCAATGATTTGTTAGCGGACCTTGCACTTCAAGACACTCCCGAACTCCCAGCTACGAAAAAAATTAGCAAATACTTCCCTGGAGAACCTGCCGATGAGTCTATCCACGTGATCGTTGAGGTCCCTACTGGTAATTAATTATCCTAGCTTTTCTTGCTTACTGCTCACTCCACACATTAAATTCCCTCACTGTCGTTGTATTTTGGTATACTGTTTGTGACGTTGACTAACTTGTGCTTTTTTTCCTGCTTCTTATAACCCAAAAAATACATTCGTTGCATTAGTATGGACCACTTCTGGGAAAATAAATATCAGTGATGCTTTTCCTGAAGGTATGTATTTAACAGAAATTCGCTATTCTTATATTGAGGCTGACTGAACATGCCATCTAGGCTTGCCGTACATGAAACCAGAACCTTTACTCTACACTTCTGGTGCTAATTGGGAATATCAACCTCATCCATCTTTGAAACACATTTTGCGAAGGGAGCTTAAAAATCATTACACAAATTTTTTTTCAGGGTATTTTGACAAAATGATGATTCCATTATACCTCTTCCTTTCTGGAGCTGGCACCGGAAAATCTCGAAACGCTAATGAATTTCACCAGACGGCAATCACTTGTTTGTCAGAGCCAGAAGATACGGAGCTGTTGACCAAGATCAAAGAAGCTTGGGTATTCCATGTCAGCTATGAAAATGGCACCACCTTACGATCGGAAGAATCCTCACCTTATCTTGCCGTTGGTACTCGAATGCTACTTCAACTTCTTAAAGAGAAAATGGGGCTTTATAAAATTATCCAAACATACGAGCCAGCAGATCCGGAGGATGTTATGACATTGGTTGCCAAATACCATAACCGAGACTTAAAAGACATTACGGTTATTTTGGTTGTTGACGGCATGCAACAGCTTATGGACAACAAAGATGATGGTTTAAAGTCAGATTCTCGGTTTTACCAGACTCTGTCAAGTATTGCAGACTTTGCATTTAAGGGAATTTTCGTGATACCGGTTTGTACTTCAACAATAACTGGCCCTGTTGAGGGTACATTGAAATACTCGCATCGTAAACGTGTATACTTACCCGTCGCTTCTCTGAAACCGCCAAGCTATCACCAAGACGATAGGTTGGTTCCAGTCTTTAAAGATGATGAGATTACTAAGACTCTTGTGGAAGACTGTGGAGGGCATGGAAGGGCTCTAGAAGCGCTTGATGATTGCTTGGCCGGTCGTAATATTGAAGAATGTAACCTCGATACTTTGATGAACGATCTACGTCTCAAGCTTACTGAAAGATATCGTGATGCTATTTTTGGTTCCGTGGACGACGCCAGGCCCGTTGCGCGAGCAATATTGACTCGACGTCTCTTAAATTTATATAAAGATGTTCCTAAAACTAACAAAACACCGGACCAATTTGCTGGGAGTGGATTGATTCGATTCGAACAAATAAATAAGAATAGTCCACAGGGATACCTCACTGCACCGTTCGTCTGGCTCTGGATATTTGTAGAGGTATCTAATAACCAAGCAGATCCAATACTTCGAGATTGGCAATTTGCTGATTATGGAGAACAAAAAGCGCTTATTGATCCTGTGTCGTCATTGCAAGCAAAGTCATGGCAGAGTTTTGAAAAATTTGTCGCGTCATTTCGTTGCGTAAAGTCAGCTGTGATTGAAGAAGATGAGCTAACAACGATCTCGGAGGTTCATGCAGGAGCGCGTTTGAATGGCGACATCCAATTTAAAAATCACAATCTGCAACTTGAGATTGCTAGAAACCAAACAGACACAAAATCTGAAAATCTCACTGCAAGAGAATGGAATGTTGATTGCTATCATTCTACCGTTGATGTCCGGAGATTTAAACATTGTATTATTAACGCTCCATCTTCGCCATCTGGGGATGCCTTCCTTTCATTAGATCAGCCGGGTACCGAGAGTCCAAACGAAATTCACCAATACAAACAGAGACAAAAACCGATCAGTCAAATGGTATACGAAGAAGAACGTAAAAAATCTGCATCAAAAAGTGATTTTTTCATCCTCTTTACGACTGCAGAAAATTGCAATGTCGAACTTCCGAAACGCTCTGGGATTGTAGATGGAAAAGTTTTTAGGGACTATTTTGGACCATTTGCTGGCAGAGCATACAAGTCCATTATGGCCAAGTCCACGCCCCCTATCCGTGATAAAGTCAAGAATATCCATACCACTTCTCACGGGAAACTTTGCAGAGTAAATCAAATTAACAAAGAACGAGCAAAAACGATCATATTAATAAGACCATTTGAAAAAATCGCGGTCGCAAATGTAAAACCAAAACTACCAATGAATTTTTATTTCCGAAAGGGCCTTCACACGGTTTCTCACATTCTCCCTCGATTCATTTAATTAAATAAGTAAAGTCAAAAATACCAACATTTCATCATTCCAAAAGGCATAATTTTTTTCCTGGCAAAGTGATCGGCGTTCCATTTCGGAACGCGCACGTGATTTTTACTACCTATTCGAAGTTTTAAATAAATGTGCTTTATATAAATCAATGGAAAACACTCAATCCAAAATCGATTCGTTGCAAGAATTAAATTCTCAACTCATTGCCACGATTGCTGAGCTTAGAAGGGAGAATGCTGAGGTCAAGGCCGAGAATACAAAATTAAAACAAGCTATAGAAAGCAAATGCTGAGCTCAAAATCAGATTCGAGGATCTAGAAAAGAAAAATAAAACAGACACCAGTAATCTCATTTCTGAAAATGCTGAGCTCAGAGACAGAGTCACGAAATTGGAACAGAAGCAGACACAAAGTGATAGCATACATGTATTAGAAAATTCTATTCTTCACGAAGCAACATCTGATATTTCTTCCAATATTTATACATACTCGTCCGAGCCTAAATCATCAGAAAATAAAGAGATCAATGAGTTTCTGGATTTTAAAAGTAAGGAAAGAGTTAGTAGCGAGATAAAACAATGCAATAGGGAGAAGAAGCTTCGAGATCAAGGCCTATTTTTGGTTAGCCATAAGAAAAAGGAAAAAATAAACTCTGGCAAGAATTATTCAATACTTCTTTAGAACCGAGTTCACAAGATTACTCTATATCAAAAAATATTAAACCAAGACAGATCGAAATTTTCAAGACGGCCTGTCCCGAAAAATTTGAGGACATGGATGGTTCTGTGAAGTGTATTGTTAATTCATTCGACATTAATGGGATATCACAACATTTAGCTCAGTTATACGATACAGCCATAGGCGTAGAAGATTGAGCTTCGAAGACTAATCAGGAAGAAATCATGTGTTGGTCTCTTTATGGTAGGAATTTTGAATTTCAAGTTGGTGAGATGAGTAGTAAAAATAAAATTGGTGAGAAAAAAGCAAGAATCTTAATTTATAATGAAATTGAAAATCAACTCTGTATTTTTCGTAAAAAATGATTACAAGATTTGGATTTACAAGTTTCAAATATATCACAAGATACCTTGTGCAAAAAACTCAAAGAGCTGTAAAAATTTATAAGTTATTCGAAAAGATAGATTTAAATAAACATATTAAGAACTATAAATGCAAATTTTATCTTGGAACTTACTAATGATCAAATTCAAGAGATTATTAATTATAGTTCAGAGAGCCAAATCTCTAATTCTTCTTTGCTTGAAATCACATCTGAAATATCTTTTAAAGATAATATAATTAAAATTTCTGGAATGATCTGTCTCAAAAAGATTTTATTAAAAACTGAGATAAATGTATCATTTGTATCACAACCCATGAAAGATTTACCAAAAGCAAAGGTAAATGTGCCATTCAAATTGAATCAAAGATCTTACCTGAAAAACAAAATAATCTGATCCATAACCATTCTATTTTCTGCAATAAAGTATTGGAACAATATCCTAATTTATATTATAAATTCAATAGTGAAAATGTTGATTATTACAAAATTATTACCAAGACATTATATCCTTTATGCAAGTTAGATCATGATGAGAAGGAAAACATAAAAAATGAATATGAAACTGAATTATATTATATTGAATATGAATAGTACAAAATTCAAATTACTGTATAAATCCCATCAATTTATTATTCTTATTATCAGTGAAGTATATATAGTATTACAGTTAATGTTGTTATTGTTTTGATGAGGCTTTCGAAATACTCAAAGGTATTTATAAAATTTAAGGAATATTCAAAGGGAAACTTCCAATATCTTAATGACAATTCAAAGTCTTAATAATACTTTATGACTTTAGACTGAATATGAATTAAAGTACGACAAGTACTTATAGAATC